AGTGAAACTTTGGCTAATGAATAAGATTTGAATACAAACAGAGGATATTTATTCAGTGGTAGTAGAACAGTTATCTAGTGTGCGCAAGGCCCTGGGTTCAATCCCCAGCACCACAGACACACACACACACACACAAAAAAAAGATAGAACACAGAATTCCTGATGGACAATATAGAGTCTTTTGAAGACAGAGAGACTAGGGCTCTAGATCTCCCCCATGATTACAAAATCATGACATTGGGACATAATTCTTTCCTCTCAAGTCACTTGGAAGACTTCCTTAGCTATTGTGTGTGAATGTGAAAGCATGGTATCTGGAATATGTGGAATATGCCTAATAAAATTTCTCATACCTCTCAGCATGAGCAAAGGCAGGATTATAAGGATTTGCTTTGTATGTTTTAGCAACAAAGAGTAGCTTGGTTGGTTCAAGTGATGGCTCATAGGACAGCAATGATGACAGAAAAAAGCTAAGATGTGATTCATATTTTCTTTTTTTGTCTTGGTGTTGAGGATTGAACTTTATAAGCTCTTTAAGGAAAACTTTCTGCCTTTCTCTCTCTCTCTCTCTCTCTCTCTCTCTCTCTCTCTCTCTCTCTCTCTCTCTCTCTCTCTCTCTGTACCTCTCTTTAGATGAGGTTTCACTGTGTTGCCTAGGCTGATCTCAAACTCTTAGGCTCCAGAAATCATCCAGCCTTAGTCTCCCAAGTGGCTAGGACTGTAGGCAAGTACCACTAAAAGTGGCTTAAGGAATACTTTCTAACAAAATCAAGACTTAAATAACTTACATATAGTGGTAAAATCTTTAAGTTAATGAGGCATGGTTTATCCAGCATAAGAAATATTTTATTTCTTAGAAAGTTATACTCCTGGCCTGGGGAAGTAGCTCAGTGCTGGCCTAGCATATATGGGACTCTGGATCCAATTCCTAGAACCTTAAGGGGGTAAAAACAAGGAAAAAAAACTATACTCCCTCTTTATCATTCTTCTTCTAAAGGAAGGAAAATTTTTATCTGTCGGTTACAAAATCATTTTCCATTCCTGGGAATTTGGAATTAGTGTCATTAAAAAAAACTTTTGTAGGGCTTCATTGAGCTCTTTGTTATTTTCCTTACTAAGAACCCTCTTCCACACCAACTTCTATTGAAAAACCGCAGCACAACCTGGTTAGTTTATTTTTAACAAAAATAACATGACTTGGAAATTGTGCTGCTGGTGGTGAGTGCAGTTTTGGACATCTGGACTTTACCACTTAGTCTTCATCATGAGAAACACAGGTGAGGTTTCATTATAGCCAGTGTGTGAGGCCAAAAGGCCCCTGGGAAGCCTCTGGGGCTTGCATTCCTGCGTCTCCCCGCCATCACATTCAGACAATGACTCCCAGGCCACTATTTTCGGAACCAGCTAGATTGTTCAATTTGATACCTTGTTGTTTTTAAAAGAACCCAAAAAGGAGTCTGTGTGGGTGAAAGTGCGGTTTTTGGAGAGCTTCAACTTCTGCATTCCCCAATTTTTGTTTTTCTCACTTTACTGCCAAGCATATTATTGAATTGCTCTGAGGTTTGAAAAAGTCGAGGGACAGGTCTTTAAACATATACAGGAATTACTCAGCTTCTGCTGTTGCAGCTGCCCAGAGCTCTTCAAGAATGAGAAAAACATAAACAAGTATTTATCCAAAGCCTAGGTCTATTAAAAAAGTCTAAAGAAAGATTTTTTTATTTTTTATTTTGGATGGGAGAATGAGGTAAGGAAATTTCCTGGTCACACACATGCAAGAAATAGCATAGAGTAGTGGGAAAGGTTCTGTAATCAAACACATAGATTTGAATTCTGTCACCATCATTTCCTACCCACCATCATCCTCCACATTCTTTTGAATGTATTATCTAATGGCCTATGTTTCAGTTTCTCCATGTGTAAAATATGAATAAATAATAATAATAATAATAATAACTAACCTTTATTGTGCACTTATTTTAGTATGTTGAACATGTTGCATATGTTATCTCATTTCAATCCAAGATGTAGAAACTGTTATTATTCCAGTTTTCAGCCATGAACATTGAGGTTCAGAAAGTTGAAACAACTATCTTGTAGGATTATTAAAGATAATGTAAATATAGGGATCATGTGGTGGCACACACTGTAATCCTAGGGGCTTAGGAGGCTGAGGCAGGAGGATTGCAAGATCAAGACCAGCCTCAGTAATATAGAAAGGCCCTAAGCAACTTAGTGAGGCCCTGTCTCAAAATAAAAAAAGAAAACAGACTGGGTGTGTGGCTCAGTGGTTAAGTGCCCCTGGGTTCAATCCCTGGTACCCGCCCCCCGCCCCATAAAAGATAATATAAACAAGTGATTCAACATAATGCTGTGTTCATGGAAGATACTCTGTAAAGAATGACTGCTTTAAAAAAATTATTAGGTGTAGTTGGACACAATATCTTTATTTATTTATTTTTATGTGGTGCTGAGGATGGAACCCAGAGTCTCACAGGAGCTGGGCGAGCACTGTACTGCTGAGCCACAATCCCAGCCCAAGAATGACTGCTTTTATAAAACATTCTTTTAAATAGCTGCTGTATTTAGAAGACAGAATATTTCAAAAATACGAATTGTGACCACCAACAAATTATCTGCTTCCATGATTCATAGTGTACTAATGATGAAATGTGAGTGAACACATTTAAGGTTCTCACATTTCCATATGAGTGAACATATAACATTACAGATTCCAGTATTTAATCCCTACAGATTTTGATTCAGTAAGTCTTTAGTGCTGCCAAGGTCTCAGCCTTTCTGACAAACATTCCAATAATTCCAAAGCAGATGATCAGTTTAGGAATGAACTTTGATAATTATTGGCCTAGAAGACCTCCAAAGTCTCTCCCAGCTCTAAAATTCTATGATTATGTAATATTATATAATTTTAAGAAATTGGTGTGAGTGGGTGGGAGTGCTTTTTAACAAATTGAAATGCCAGAGAAAATTAAAGGTGCTCCAAATACTCTGGAATGTTGCAGACCTTTTTTCTCTTTGAGGGTAGATGCACTCCAAAGACCAAATTCTATATTATTTATTCAGTGATGGAACATAAGGAATGACATAATTTCAATGACTGGTAGAGATAGTTTTGACAAAAATGGCTCTACAATGAATAAGGGACAGTTCCTAAAGAAAGCATACCATAGTGAAACAATGTCATCTGTAGAATTGCCATTCTCCCCATGAAGGGTATTTCTGTCTAAATAGTCACTAAGTCATTGAAATCATGGGGCTTTCTACTCTTGGGGAGAACTGGAACTATATTGGCAAATTCTTCTTGATTTTTTTTCCTTTCTTTTTTTAGGATCTATTGTTTTTCTTTTATAATAATTTACTTAGTCATTGCTAATTAAATTATAGCCCTCCAGATTTAATTAAAATTCAGTATCCTTGATGAGATTTGAGAAATAGCTAATTGATATCAACAGTTCCAATTCTTTAGCAGGTACTTTTCCTTCAACTTCCTCCTCCCCATACCTGCTCCTGCACCCCATCAGCACACTCTTCCATAAAAAAGTACCAAAAGGACCTTTTTACCTTGTGGCCAAGAGCAAGAAAGGGAGAGTCAACCACCTCAGCACAATCAGAAAAAATCACCCATCCAGTACACTTCAGCAGTTTGGTTTATTCAGCCTGGCCCTGCTTCCCACACATACTGTTTGCTTTAGATTTAAATGAGGCATACCTACAACATAAAAGTAAGTAACATCAAAGTTCTCTCTACTGAGGCGATTATCCTGGATATGCTCTATAATTATTTATGCCTCACACAGATAATCCTAAAATCTTGACTGGAATAGACACAAAAGGTCACATAATATATGATTCTATTTATATAGAATTTACCAGAACAGGTAAATCCTTAGAAGCAGAAAGCAGATTGGTGGTTGCCTGGAGGCTAGGGGGAGGGGAGAATAGGTAGTGACTGCTTAAAGAACATGGGTTTTCTTTTAGGAAGAGGAAAATTTTTCGACAATGATGGTGGTTGTACAATAAATGCCACTAAATTGTACACTTCAAAATAATTCATTTAAGGGCTGTGGATATAGCTCAGTGGTACAGCACTTGCCTAGCATGTGCAAGGCCCTGGGTTCAGTTTCCAGCACTGAAAAAAAAAAAAAAAAGACAAAAAAAGATTCATTTTTGTGTTATATGAATTTCACTTCCATAGGGGGGAAAAAAACCAGCCAGGTGCAGTGGCTTATAGAGGCTGAAGCAGGAGGATCAAAGCCAGCCTCAGCAAAGGTGAGGCATTAAGCAACTCAATGAATCCTGTCTCTAAATAAAATGCAAAATAGGGCTGGGGATGTGGCTCAGTGGTCAAGTGCCCCTGAGTTGAATCCCCAGTCCCCCCCACCCCCAAAATCCTGATTAATTTAGACACTTCTAGGAACTAAATAGCCAAAGAAAGGATACGAGTATTCTGGAACAGAAGGAAAATAATGGAAATGTGAGTGGGAGGAGAGAACCAAAAATCGATGAAAAGTTCATTTGGCCAAACCTAGGGAGTAGGTGCTTTTGCAAGGACTGAAGGCCTCAGACAAGTCTGTGTGAGAAGCTAATCTGACCCAAGCTGGGTGGTGGTACACTCCTATAATCCCAGCAACTGAGAAGCCTGAGGCAGCAGGATCTCAAGTCTGAGGCCAACCTCAGCAATTTATTGAGGTCTTGAGCAACTCAGTGAGATCAATCTTTTTTTTTTTTTTTAAACCCATGGCACTTTATCACTGAGCCACATCCCAGTCCTTTTTTAAAAAATTTTATTTTGAGTCAGGGCCTTGCTAAATTGCTGAGTCTAGTCTGAATTTATGATCCTCCTACCTCAACCTCTTGAGTCACTAGGATTGCAGGAGTGCGTCACGACTGGGTTCAATCTTTAGTATCTCACAAAAACACACACACACACACACACAGAGAGAGAGAGAGAGAGAGAGAGAGAAGGAAAGACAATAGTAAACTTCAGTAGAAAAACATAGTTTATTATATACTTAATAGTCTTACAGGTGCTAAACATTTTGAATATATGATCTTGTGAATATATGATCTTGTTAACTCTCAGAACCATCTGTAAGGCAGGTAAATTGCCAACAATTTACAGTTGAGAAATTATTTGTTTAAAATCACATAACTAGTGAATGCCAAGTTTGGATTGGCACTGAAACACATACCAATTATTTTGTATTGAATTGAACAGGACAAACTAAGGATTTGGCTTAGTGGTAGACCGCTTGCCTGGCATGCATGAGGCCCTTGATTTTATCCTCACCAAAAAAAAAAAAAAATTAGATTGGATTGAACAGGGTGATACAACTGCAGTTTTTTTTTCTTTCTTTCTTTTTTTTTTTTTTGTGGGGGATGGTACCAGGGATTGAACTCAAGGACACTCGACCACTGAGCCACATCCCCAGCCCTATTTTGTATTTTATGTAGGGTCTCACTGAGTTGCTTAGCGTCTTGCCATTGCTGAGGCTGTCTTTGAACTCTCAATCTTCCTGTTTTAGCCTCGGGAGCTGCTGGGATTACAGGCTTGCGCCACCGTGCCTGGCTGCTGCTGCTGCTTCTCTTTTGTTTTTTATTGTTGTTGATGATACCTAGAACCACATTGATTTGGATTCTAGACATCATAATCATCATGGATATAATTGCTTAGTTTCTACATGATGAGAGAAAATATTCTTTCCCTGTCTCAGCATATATTGTCATTCTTATGAGCATTTGGACTTTAATTATGAATTACTACATTATTCCAGGTCTTTCTATCTCAGACTCATTCTGTGGCAACATAAAAGAGCACAGTTGACTTTATCAAATTTCAAATGACCTTCTAGCAAAGGCCATTTGTAATTTGATAATTTTTTTTTCTCTCTCTCTGCACTTGGGATTCAACCAGGGATGTTCACCCACTGAGGTATAGCCTCAGCCCTTTTTATTTATTTATTTTTATTTTGAGACAGTCTTGTTAAGTTGCTGAGAGTCTCACTGTGTTGCCTACTCTGGCCTCAAATTTGAGATTCTTTTGCCTCAGCCTCTCCAGTTGTTAGAAGTAATTACAGTCATGTACCACAGAGCCAACTCAATCATTACTTTTTAAGGGGGTATGGGGGAAGAGGTGAATCTCACATAAATTTACAAGATCATTCTGAATTCAGTCACTATGGATTGCTGCATACATTTAATTATGTAGTAGATATGTATGGCAGATAATCACACAGAAGGGAAAAGGGAGAGGAAAGAGAAAAATACCAGAAATACAGAAGAAAAAAAAAAACTGTAAGATCTACAGGTTAGGAAACAAACTAGAACCTTAAAGTGATTATACAAGGTGAAAAAAACACAAAACCATTATCAGCTACTTAATAAAACGTGAGGGTTTGAGGTAAAGCAAAGCTCAATTTGTTAACAGGAAACTATGGGCTCTGCACGTCTATTTATATAAACATTTGCTTTTTCCGCCTTGGGTTCTGCCCAGAAGTGGTTGTCTGACTGCTACTTATGGCTCTACTTGACTGGTTTAAAAAAAAAAAAAAAAAAACTCTGAAAACTGTGGCCACCTGTTCCTCTCTCCACCAGAGAAACTAAACATGTCACTTTCCCTGATGTTTGGTTAGTGAAAATGCTTAAAGATGCCAAGACGTCAACTGTTTTTTTTGTTTTTTGTACTGGGGATTAAACCCAGAGGGACTTTTCCACTAAAGTAAATTCCCCAGCTTCCCCCTCCTTTTTTTTTATTTTTTTATTTTTTAGAATTTTGAGAGAGTGTCCCTGAGTTGCTTAGGGCCTCACTAAATTGCTGAGGCTGGTCTTGAACTTTCAATCCTCCTGCCTTAGCCTCCCAAGTTGCTGGGATTTCAGGCGTGCACCACTGCACCTGGCTCCAGGATGTCAATTTTATTGAAGTGTTGTACCTTCTTTGAGTTCACAAAACCATGAGGGTGGTCCTGCCTCTCTTCTGCTGTGCTCCTGATATCTTTCCATTTCACCCTATATTTGCAGATTTGAAAATTCCCACTAACTCATTTCCTGGTTCTCTTCCCCTGGTGCCAACCTATCATCGTGCTCTCAAGATTCTTTGGTCTGTTGCTCTCCATCTTCTGATCTGTCCACTGTGTTACAGTTACTTCAGTACAAAAGGAAGAGGAAACTTAGAGTTCACAAGTTGCTTGCACCTTCCAACCAGGGGTACAGTATTTGGTTTAGCATACATCTTTTGCCACAAACACCCTAAAGTAGGGAGGAGCTTGTGGCTAGCAACATATACTGCTTGATGTCATCAAAATAAAATCTAGAGGTGGGGAAACCAGCTGGGGTTTGCACCATCTGCTTGTGAGTCAAAAGAATACTAAGAGAAAGTGTGCATAGAAAACTCTAGTGAGTAGAGTTCACACTTGAATTTCCAGAATTTGTTAATTTGAAGAGAAAGGATAATTTTCTTGACTAAGAAGCATGAAATATGGGAAAAATTAGACTCAGAGTAGAATCAACTCAATTTTATTTTATTGATTGATTGATTGATTCTTGTTGTTGGGGATCAAACCAACACCATGTTGTCATGTTAGACAAGCACTCTATCACTAAGCTACATCCCCAACCCTTTTTATTTTTATTTTGAGACAAGGTTCACTTAGTTACTGGGCTCGTCTGGAGCTCATGATCCTCCTGTCTCAGTTTCCTACATAGCTGGGATTACAGGTGTGCAACCCTGTGTCCACTGTGAATCAACTCAATTTGGGAAGAGAAAGTTAAAGATGAACCTTCTGGGCAGACAGATGAGGTTGCTATCTATTCAGGATACCAAGAAAGCATCCAAACTCTAATGGATGTTTTACTAAATTGTTTAATTCTAATATTAAAGATCCATTAATTTGGTTTACATAGTTGTTTTTCATTAAGACATAAATTCCAGGGCTGGGGGATATAGTTCAGTGGTAGAGCATTTGGCTAGCATGTGTAAGGCCCTGGGTTCAATCCCCAGCACCACAAAAAAAGGTGGGTAGAGAACATTAGAACAAGGAATGGCAAAACTTCGGAATTTACACAAAAGAGAAATGAGAGTAAGTAATGAAACTTCAACTACCAAGATTGTTGGGCCTGATAAGAGCAGAAAAGCAAAACGGGGACACATCTGGAGGAGACTAAATAAATTTGGATTTTTGGAGAACCATTGGTAAAGTTATGGAGTAAAAGATAAAACAGAGAAGAGCAGAATAAAGAAAGTTGACTAATTTTGGTACTCAGTTTTCAAAGTGGGATAAAAGTGGACAAATTCAAGTATTTTTTGTGAACATTAAAGAGAAAAACAATAACCAAGCCAAAGACCACTTTATGCTGAGGGAAAAAAGATTGGATAAAATTTATTGTAAAAGATTTAATTTGCAATAGACAAATACTGGGATTGAGGTGCTCACTGGTGGGAATGTCACCTATCATTTATCATGAAGTAGGAATGTCAAGTACATGAAGAGATTCTTTTCTTTTTTTTTTTTAATTTATTTATTTTTAGTTCTCGGCGGACACAACATCTTTGTTGGTATGTGGTGCTGAGTATCGAACCCGGGCCGCACGCATGCCAGGCGAGCGCGCTACCGCTTGAGCCACATCCCCAGCCCAAGAGATTCTTTTCTTTTTGGTATTTTCTCAGATCCCAAACATAAACTGAACTTTTGAATGTCTTTGAATCTAAATATTAGTATTCTTAGCATTAACTATTATTTTAATTGTACAACTTTATAAGGTACAATGTGAATTTTTTATACATGTATACAGTATGCAAAAGTCATATCAGAGTAGTTAACATTTCCATTTCATTGAGCATTTAAACATTTTTATTAACACATAATCATTGTACATATTTATGAGGTACGTGTGATATTTCAGTACATATATACAATAAGCATTGATCAAATGGGATAACTAACCTTTCCATCTCCTTATCATTATTTTGAATTTGCAGTCTCATGAAGAGATTTTGGGTTTGTTTGATTAATTGATTGTGGTGCTAAGGATTGAATCCAGGGCTTCCATTAATGTTAGGTAAGGACTACCACTGAGCTACAACCCTAGCCCTATGAAGAGATTCTTAAGATGATTTTTATAAACTCTATGCCCAGGAGGTTTCTTTGTAGTGACTACAATATACACTTACTATGTCTGTCTGGACAAGGACACTTTAATTCTAGAGACTATGGTGGAATAGAGATTGCATACCTTGAGGTTTTCTTACACTTCTCTTCGATAAGGTGTACAAATCCCATTAAACTAAATTGTTTCTTAACAGCAAGAATCCAACCCTCATTTAGCTAGTTTTCTTGACACTATGAAGGGAATCCAACCCCTAGTGTCATATGTAACAACTTCTCCCCTAATTCCTATTTGAATTCCATTGATTTTTCTAGAAAGTTATTTAGTTATTCAGACCCAAGGGTTCACAATATATAGTTTGTCACTTATTAGAATGGAATTTGAGGAGCCTGGAGGTATAGCTCAGTGGTAGAGCACTTGTCTAACAACATGCTTGGGGCCATGGGTTTAATCTCTAGCACAGGGGTAGGAGGGTAGGATTTGATTGTATTGCATTGTGTACTACTGTCAATATTTAGGATAAAGCAGACATGCTTGTAAATTAGACTGCATCTAGACTTTGAAAAATATAAATAATGCAGTTATGTCAGAAAATCATAGAACTAATGCCTAAGAACTAACAGAAATTCAGCCTTCTCATTTTAAAGTGAGGAAATTAGACCAGGACCTAATGAAGGAAAATGACTTATCTAAAGATTCATCCTACTCCTAAGGCCAGGACAAGAAATTGTGTTTCTTTCATTTTAAACTTTAGGTTAAGCTTTCTGCCTATTAAAATTTATATCTGACCCCAGTGCAATGGCACAAGCCTGTAATCCCCGTGACTTTGGGAGGCTGAGGCAGGAGGATAGCAAGTTTGAGACCAGCTTCAGCAACTAAGCAAGGTCCTCATCCACTTACAAAGACCTTGTCTCAAAATGAAGAGTTGGGTATATAGCTAAATGGCAAAGCATTCCTGGTTCAATAACTAGCACACAAAAAAATTCAGATATGAATGTTCTTCTTAGGCTCGAAGCCAGGATATTCTAGAATTTCCTTTTGCACAATAAGCTCTATTTTTGCACTTGGTGTTAAGGATGAAAGAAGTAGCACAACTCAAGGAAACTCAGGTCAATGGTATGGTTTCACATTAAGTTGTCTAGTTTGCTTTGTGTAAGCAAGCTAACCCCAGTACTATCACAAATGAATAAGTAAAGGAAACACATTTTTCAACACTACTCCTTGACTGAACAACTGGATGAAAAAATTGAATACAGAATTATAAGTCCAAGTTCTGTAACTGGCACAATCTTCTCTTTTAACCCCAGACTCTGCACTTAGCAGAAGATAACATTTTGGGTCTTTCTGTATTGCTATTAGAATTATATATATGATTTTTGGTTCTGTTGGGAGAATCTTGAGTCTACAAAATTCTAGGACTTTCAGAACTACAAAAATTACCATGATCTTTTTCACCAAGAAGACCTGACAGGCAAAATTAGGACAATCCAGGCAAAATAGTAAAAATGAGTAAAGAGGAATATGTAAATGATGATGAGGTCTTGGAAGGAAAATAAATGAAGTTCTATGGTTAGCCAAAGTAGACAAAGATGGCTTCTTCTACCCTAAGGTCTATTTCCAACAGATCTAATAATTGAGATTATTAACATACAGGCTGGGCCTGGAGCTTAATGGTAAAGCACTTGCCCAGTATTTGAGAGGCCCTGGGTTCGATAGCCAGCATTACACACACACGCACACACACAAATACACATGCACACACAGACAGAGATTATTATTACTATTTATTTTATTTTTTGCAGTTCTGGGAATCAAACTCGAGACCTTGCGCATGCTAAGCAAGCTCTGCCACTGAGCTACATCCCCAGTCCTTCCAAATAGATCATTAACCTAAAGTTTATTCTTTCCAGAATTGTATATAGAATGTTTGAATATAAGTCATGTTTATCTACTATGCCTATGATATTGGGAAGCAACAAAACTGCAATAATACAGGTATTGTGTTTTAAGTACTGAAAAATGAGATAAATGTTATCAGTCTTGGTCAAAAATTAGGGAGTAGGGGCAAAAGCTGGATATTGCAAAGGGACAGGTTTAAGAAATTCTCATGTCTATGGGTTAGCTGACAGTGGTGTAGAAGACGAAATTCCCCCTTCCTCTCACCCACACATTCTTTCTTCTTTCTTCTTCCTTGATGATCACAGACCATCGAGTCTCTGCAAATTCACATCTTCACAGGGAGGAAGTCGGAAGTAGTTGGAGCGGCGGAGTCGCCTTGGGGGCAGACCTGCCATCTGACGGCAAAGTTCATCTAGAGGAGAAGCAGAGAGTGAGAGGAGAATTCTGGAAGATAACAAGGCTTCTTGTTTTAAGGGAAAGAAAAGGCTGTGCAATGAGATGTAGTAAAAAATGTTGAAGAGAAAAAGACCTGGTGGGTTGAAGCCTCTGCCACTTACTGGTTATTTATCACTTACTAGAAAGTTCCTTAACTTATGAACCTCAGTATTCTTTTTGTAAAATGAGCATTAAAATACCTATCTTAACAGCTTGTGTTAAAATGAAATAAGGTATGCAAAGTACCCAGCACCCCAGTAAATGTTAGTTTCTTTTATATGCCCAGCTCCCAATTCTAGTCATGGATCGAGTAAGTAGGAAAATGAGGTCCAATCATTCATTCCACTTTTAGGTGTTTACTATGTGCAAATAGCTAACTTTAGTTACTCCCCTGAGATACTTGAAAGTGCCTAGAGTCCCAAATACTCATCCTCAATCTCAAGGTGCTTCCCTTGCAGGTGGCTTGCACAAAGCCAATGGGGGCAAGCAGCAAATTTCCTTCAGCAAAGTTAACTACAGCTCTTACTCAAGAACTCAGTGCAGAGCAGGCTGCTGAGTCAGAAGTGCTGTGTCTGTGGTGTTGTCACCAACCACAGCCATCATTTGGGGCTGTCCATGGGGAAGGTGAGAAGTATGTTTACTCTCACCAAGCATGGTCTAAAACCACACATTTAGGACCCTTGTAAAATTGTTTTTATAACATCTTTCTGCCTTCTCTACTTCTTAAATTTCTCTATAAGCAATGTAAATGGTTCCTGGAATTGGTGAACTGTTTATAAGATAGCCAATTTCTTAATCTTCCTTTTTCTGGGGGGTACTAGGGATTGGACACAGTGATGCTTAACCACTGAACCACACCTCCAGTCCTTTATTTATTTATTTATATTTTTTGGTACCAGGGATTGAACTCAGGGGCATTTGAACTCAGGAGCACTTGACCACTGAGCCACATCACCAGTCCTATTTTGTATTTTATTTAGAGACAATGTCTGAGTTGCTTAGCACCTTGCTTTTTGTTGAAGCTGGCTTTGAACTCATAATTCTCCTGTCTCAGCCTTCCAAGATGCTGGGATTACAGGCGAGTGCCACCACTTCCAGTCCTTTTTATTTTTTGAGACAGGCTTTCACTAAGTTGCTGAGACTGGCTTTGAACTTTCGATCCTCCTGCCTCAGCCTCCCCAGCTGCTGGAATCACAGATGTGCACCATCATGCTATCTGTTTTATATACCCTATCCAAACCTTACTGTCTCCACACTAGTGTGTGTGTATGTGTGTATGTGTGTTTTCCTTAAAGAGCTATGAACTTGGCCATTGACTAGATGAGCATATTATCTGTGATTGCTGAATTGGCCCTTTCCCTAGAACCCCAGTGGTTGACCTTTAAAACAGAGCTTTAAAAAACTGTCTATATAAGAGAAACTGGGGGGACTGCCATTTAGATGGGAAAGGATCTAGGTGTACTTTTGTAGGTCTGTATTTGTATTAAGCACACTGCTTTACTTAGATTGTTTATTTGGGGAAACTTCTATTAGGGGCTGATAAAAGCTAAAGCCTAGGGCCAGAGTCCTCCTCCAAACCAATCCTTGGATCTTGGATCATGATCCTACTTACCTCTCTCATAATCATTCGTCCCCATTAAACATCCAGATGTCAACTTACCTTTCATAACTTCATGTTCCTTACAAACAAGACGGGAGCAGATCTCATTGTTGATGATGTACATACGTCGTAAACTGCAACATCCAGTATCATGGTCAAGGAAAGAGATAGAAAAAAGTCTTGAGGGGAAGAACTAACTTTGGCCTAGGCTGCTGTTCAACTCTGTAGTTCCCACTTTCCCCTGTCTAGCCTCCCCCATCTACATTTCCTTAGGTATTTCAGATGACTACTTTTTTTTTAACCCCTCAGAAGAATGCAGGTAATGGAATGATATTAATTTTCTTTCTTTCCTTCCTACTTTACTTTTCTTTCCCGTACTGGGAATTGAATCCAGGGGTACTCCAACACTGAGCTACATCCCCACTTCTTTTTAATTTTTACTTTGAGACAGGGTCTGGCTAAGTTGCCAGACCTGAACTTGGAATGATCCTGATCCAGCCTCCCCAGTAGCTGTGATTACAGGCACCACTGCAACAGGCTAATTCCTCTTCCTACTGACACTTTCCACCTAGAGTCAAGTCCTCTGCTCCTTTCCATTTTCTACCTTCATATCTAAGTCTTTTGCTTTAGCATCTTTCAATCAGGTAATAAATCCAACATGCCAGTGTTTCCTTTATGACCCTCTTTTTCTTCCGCTTTCACCTTCACTTATCTTCTGATATCTATTAGTCGGCCTATCCTTGTATACCTCAACCCAGAGGTCCAGCCAGCACCTTCAGGAATAGCTAGAAGAGTTATGCTAAAAACACCTGCCCTATCAAATGATGCAATTCCTTAGTGAGTATTTATTAAATAGTTACTGACACAAAAAGACTACCATGGAAGCTGCTGTCTGGGCATTCTGGGTTCCTTTACCTGGTGAAGCAGACCTGATGAACGCATTGCTTGACTGGTCGATGGACAGAGTAGAGTCTTGTACAAGCAAATTTCTCATCCCGGCACTCTGAAGAGATCCAACACACACAAAAAATAGGGAGGTCCAAATAGAAATAGTATAAATGAAGGATTAAAGAGCTGAGGAAGAATATAGAATAGGGAAAAAATACAGAGTAGTTTCTATAGAAGATCATTATAAATCAGGGGCTATCCTTCCTGCTTACCAAAAGCAGAGCAAAAGGAAACTGACTAAAATGAAATTTAGGTGCTTCCCTACCTCAAAGAAGAGGTGGATAAAATAATTTCTGAGAACTATTCTAAGAAAAAATGTCTTTTTCTAGCCCTCTAATTTAATAAGTGGTCCATACAAAAATAGAGAAATAAAATCCTCTAAGGGAAAGTTTTTATAAAAAGAAGACTTTTTTAGGATTATCTATGTAGCAATATGAAATATTAAACTGAAATGTTGATGATCTCATTCTGAAGAATGAGAATTCTTAATTCAAGAATTAAAGTCATTATATCTCTGTTCTAGCTGATGTCAACCCTAGTTGTAGAAGAGACTTATCAAGAAATTAAGGAAAGCACTTTTCTTTTTTGCACTACTGGGGCTCAAACCCAGGGCTTCATGCTAGGCAAGTGCTCTACCACTGAGTTACGTGCCCCCCTTTTTTAACATTTTTAAAATTTTTAGACAAGATCTCCCTAAATTTCCAAGGCTGGCCTTAAACTGTGATCCTCCTACTCAGCCTTCCAAGTCCCTGGGATTATAGGCAAGCACAGCTAGGCCCATCTACGGAAAGCAATTTTAACCATGAAGTCTATGGTAAATTGACAAATTGATTTTATTTCCCAATCCATTAATCACCAAATAAAGTCCAAAGGTAATGTACAGAAAGAGTGGTTTTGGGACCATTCAACAGCAGTCTCTTCTTTGTGACTTTTAGGACAGGAATTCATTTTGAAAATAAGTACATAAAAGCTGAGTTAATAAAGGGGGGATGGAGTGAAGAGCACTAAAAATATTCTTTGAGGAAGAATTGGAATTAAGCAAGTACTTGTACTCTCCAAAAAACAAGAAAGAAAGGAATCCATAGAAAGAAAAAGAGCTTCAGAAAAAAATTTAAAAACATGCAAGAAATGATCATACCTGTGGTGGTATTTTTATCACTGGGCGAGGCTGGAAGGCAGAAACTTTATTTAGTCATTACCATTTCTAGAAGTCAGGACTTCTGTAACTGTCATGCTGCCTCTCTTGGAACCCACTTGGAATACTCATAAATAGGGAACAAATGAGTTAATAAACCTTTTTTCTCTCCCTGGTACTGGGTTTGGAACTCAGGGGCACTCTACCACTGAGCTATATCTCCTGCACTTTTAAAATTGTTCTTTGAGGGTATATAGCTCAGTTGGTAGAGTGCTGACCTTGCATGCATAAGGCCCTGGGTTTGATCCCCAACACCACAAACAAACAAACTAATTATACTTTGAGACAGGGTGTGGCTGAATTGCCCAGCATGGCCTCCAACTTGAGATTCTCCTGCTTAGTCCTTCCACTATTGGGATCACAGGTGTGTGCCACCTCATCCACAAGTTAATAACTCTTAGCAACTTCTGAAAGAAAACCCCTGTTGGGCTGCTTTGATCCACATGATGGAAGAGATTTAGGAAATAAATTGAAATTATGCCTTTCCCCTTTCTCTTCTGGAGAGTTGAGAATTTCATTTTATATATATATATACACACACACACACACACATATATATATAGTTTTTTAAATGGAGGAGTGTTCACTATGTTGAATAGGCTGGCCTCAAACCCTTGAGGTCAAGGGATCCTTCTGCCTCAGTTTCCCCATTGGCTAGAACTATACGTGCACACCACCATATCTAGAGATAAGAGACAAATTTTGTAGGAGCGCAAGGCAAAGAGCCATATCCCCAGAAGTGCTTTAACTTAGAGCTAAGGAGAAAGCATATTATCCTGTAGAAGCTCCTCCTCATTCTTATGTCTATTTTTTATAGATTAAAGACATTATCATGGATTCTTTGATAAAAGCTGTTTGGATAAAAAATAGCAAAGGTTGTATTTATAGCCAAACCTGTCCTGGTGCAAGCTTGATACAGGCTAGTTTTCAGAATGGACAACAGGTCAAGGACTTAGATGTGGTTGAGGGGATACGCTATTCAGGGAGCTTTTGGGGAAAAAATGTCCTTTTTTTTCCCCCCCTCTGGTACCAGGGATTGAATCCAGGGGTGCTTAACCACTGAGCCACATCCCCACCCTTTTTACTTTTTATTTTGAGACAGGGTCTTGATAAATTATTTAGGGACTAGCTAAATTGCTGAGGCTGTCCTGGAACTTGTGATACTCCTGTCTCAGTCCCCTGAGTGCTGAGATTACAGGCATGCACCACCATGTATCCTTTCTATTTAACTCTCCCAAAGACTTTTCCCACAGGGCATGATGGCCCAGGCCTATAATCCCAGAGATATAGGAGGCTAAGGCAGGAGACTGCAAGTTCCAGGACAGCCTTAGCAATTTAGTGAGACCTTGTCTCCAAACAAAAAAAATAAATAAAAATGGGATGTAGCTCAGTAGTAAAGTGCCCCTGGATTCAATCCTTACTATTAAAAAAAAAAAAATCAGACAGAGAGATTGACTAGGATGTGTGATAGCTGATATCATTTACCCCAAGGTTAAAGCAGGTCTGTGCTGATAATTTCAAACTCTGTTTCTAGCCCAGATCTCACTCTTAAACCCCAAATCTACAGATTCAATCACCATTTTATGGAAGTGTTACTGAATTTTTTAAAGATTCTTCAAATTCAACATATCTTAAACTCACTTATTATCTTTTCCTTCTCCAATTTGAGTTGTTTTTCATAATGGTACCACCAACCACTCAATAACCACATTTAGAAAACTGAACATCATTTTAACCATCCTCTTTTCCAGAATGGGGATGTAGCTTAATGGTGGAAGTTTTGCTTACTCTCCAAGACCAAAAAGGAAAAAAACAAACAAACAAATAAAAACAACTATCTTCTATCTCCTTTTCTTACTACCTACCACTTGTTCCTTGCCCCTCATCATTTAAAAAACTCAGTTTCCACCCTCCCTGTGGTGGCCCACACCTGTAATCCCAGCTTTTCAGGAAGCTAAAACAGGACAATCACAAATTCAAGTCCAGCCTGGACAATTTAGTGAGCCTCCCTTCTCAAAATAAAAAATAAAAAGGGATGAGGATTTAGCTCAGTGGTAGAGCACCCTGGGCTCAATCACCAGTGTGGCAAACAAATAAACAAAAATCTTCAGTTTCCCTCATGTACTAAACTCTACTGTGTTTTTCTTTTCTCAGTCTCTTTTTTCCTAGGGATTGAACCCAGGACCTCATGTGCTAGGCAAGTCATCCACCACTAAGCAACACCCACAGCTCTGGTGTTTTTGTGTTTTTTGTTTGTTTGTTTTTGAGACAGGATCTTGCTGTGTTGCCCAGGTTGGCCTCCAATTCCTGTGCTCAAACAATGCTCCAGCTTCATTTTTTTTTTGAAGAGGACTTGGTGGGAAGTAAAGAGGATTGACCCCAGGGATGCTCTATACAGAGCTACACGTCCAGCCCTTTTTATTTTGGGATAATGTCTCATTAATGAGTCTGACCTTGAACTTGTGATCTTCTTGCTTCAAACTCCAAAGTCTCCTACATAACATGCCACTGCAGCTGGCCTGCCTCAACCTTCTGAATAGCTAGGAACGAAGCCTGGCAGCACCACACCTGATTTAAAGTCCATTTTGTTTTCACATCTTAGAACATGTTGTTGGTACCCCTCATTGGAAGGACACCTCCTTGACTGTTTTATCTTGTTCCAATTCTTCTTTCAAGGTTTAGTTCAAGCCAGATGTGATGTCATAGACCTCTAATCCAGCAGTTAGGTAGGCTGAGGCAGGAGGATCATTAGTTCAAAGCCAGCCTCAGCTATTTAGGGAGGCCCTAAGTGACTTTGCAAGATTCTGTCTCAAAATAAAATATAAAAAGGCCTGGGCATGTGGATCAGTGATTAAATGCCCCTGGGTTCAATCCCTGGTACCAAAAAAAAAAAAAAGGGGGGGGGGAGGGTTTCAAGGATTCCTTCTAGAAAACTTCATTTATCCTCCCAAAAGTTTGTTTCTATATTTGTCTCTTGTCTCACTTAGCCTTGGAAACTTTGAGAGAAAGATCACATCTTGGTACTTTGTACAGCCAACAGCAGTTTCTGCTCATTATGGGTTCAAAATGTCATTAATTTAAATTGGCCTAATGGAAGGACATGCTACATATGCTGTCATATATTTAGGATCCTTCAGCAGCTGCACTGCCTCCCATAATGGGCTCTAGGGAAAATCCAGAATGGCCCTCAAGGCCCTGGGATCCCAGATCTGAACTCACCCAGTTCATCTGTGGAAGGCTCCATATCAGCCAGAACTGAAAAGGCACAAAACAGCAGGTGTGAGGAGGGCTTTGAAATGCAAGGGGTAAGGGAGAGTAGGAAAAGGAAGAACAGAGGGCAAGGTCAGGACTACTGCTGCCTTTGTGTATGATGTCCAAGGGAATAGAATTTATAAAGTTAATTGGGAATATTGCTCCTGTTGACATTATATTAATTTTTGAATGCTTGTATTATTATCTAAGCCTTATTTAGCTATTAGTTCACTTTGTTCCACTTTTTAAAGGACTATCGACCTCTCTTATCCCATGGTCACTGAACAACACTCCCACAACCCCTTTATTTAGAGCTTAAAATGTAGCATTAATTCAAGAATTCAAGATCCGTTCAAGATCTGGAATATTTTTAACAACATCATGAATCAGAGCTTTCTTTCTCTTCTTCTTCTTTTGGTACTGGGGACTGGACCCAGGTGCTTTACCACAAAGCAGCATCCCCAGTCTTTTTTGTTGTTGTTGTTAAGGGTCTAAGTTGGTAAGGCTGATCTCAAACTTGCGATCCTCCTGCCTCAGCCTCCTCAGTAGCTAGGATTACAGGCATGTGGGATTACACTCCTGGCAGATCATACCTTTTTTAAGAACTTCAGTGAAACTTACCAGTTTCGTCTGTTGAAGGTTCATTCACCAGATCTGCAAAGGTACAAAACAGGGAATGAAAAATGCAGGTGAAAAAAGTATCTACCAGAAGCAGGATAAAGGGGATGATTATCTAAAAGGTGATGAGAAGGATAAAAATGAGGGCATGTGGACTCTTGGGTAAAGAAAGAAATGGAAGAGGTAATAAGACTGAATATTTTTACTGCAATGGTGGCTTCTAAGATAGGCAAGAGCCAGGCACAGTGGTGTATACCTGTAATCCCAGCAGCTTGAGAAGCTGAGGCAGGAGAATTGTGAGAGGCTGAGGCAGGATGATTGTGAGTTCAAAAGCCAGCCTCAGCAACAGTGAGGAGCTAAGCAACTCAACTCAGTGAGACCCTGTCTCTAAATAAAATACAAAATAGGGCTGGGGCTAGGGGCTCAATGGATGAGTACCCCTGGGTTCAATCTGGGCACCAAAAAAAAAAAAAAAAAAGACAAGAGAACTCTGGTCTGGGTGAGCACCCAATGCCCACCAAGTTTTTTGTTTGTTTTTGTTTTTGTTTGTTTTTTTTTTGGTCAGACATTATCCTCAATCCTTGTATTCCCAATATGATAGCAAGAAAGTTACAACAAAACAAAAAAAACAAAACAAAACAAAACGAACCAAAACAAACAAACAAAAAAAAAAAAACGAACCAAAACAAAAAAACAGTGGGGGTGGATAGCTTACTGGGATCTTCTGTGAATGTTTCTGGAGTCACATCATCTGAAAGAAAATCAGAAAACATTTTCTGAGCACTCTCTGGCCCCCTCTACATTTGCACTTCCAATAAATGACATTATCAAGCACAACACCAGTACATGGTTAAGTATCCCCCAAATTGTTTTTCTTTATCTGCCTATAATAATTACAATGGAATGATGATCTCTTTGCTAAGCACAAATTCTACCACTAAGCTATACCTCCAGCCCAACATTTATAATTTTGATATGAATTTGCTGATAATGCTATTATACAGAGTGCCTACAAAAGGTGATGGTGATGATTTTCTGATGCTCAGAAATGAGAGAGGGGGTGGGGGATGCCAATGTTAGTAGACAACTCTTTGCATTTGATCATCAGAAAATTAAAGGCAGGAAGAGAGGAAATAAAAATGGTCCAGATCTTTGGGTGGATTCTATTAGGAAATACTGAGAAAACTATATCTGGGATTTTAAATAATAGTGCTTTTAAAAACAAATTGTCTTTTCTATTATTCTTATTATTTGGTGTTGTAGATTGAACATAGAGCCTTGTACATGCTAAATACATATTTTACCTCTGAACTATGTTCTTAGCCTACTGTCTTTACATTAAAAGCAAAAAAACAAAAAACAGCAACCAAAAAAGCAGTTCTAATGTTTCATTTAAAAAAAAAAGATCTTTTTTTATATGGACACAATATTTATTTTCATGTGGTGCTGAGGATCGAACCCAGTGCCTCATATGTGCAAGGCAATGTTCATTTGTCTCATTTTTAAATTAACTTTCTTCTTCCTTTCTTCTGGGAATAAATCCAAAGGTGTTCTATCACTGAGCAACATCCCCAGCCCTTTTTACTTTTTATTTTGAGACAGAAGATCTCTCCAAGTTGCAGAGGCTGGCCTCACCTGAACTTTCGATCTTTCTGCTTCAGTCTCCTGAGTAGCTGGGATTATAAGCATGGACCACCATGCCCAATTTAAGATTTTCATTTATTATCATTCATGCTAGACAAGGGCTCTACCACTGAACCATACTCCAAGCCCAACATTTTGCTTTTTTTTTAGATGTCAATGGACCTTTATTTTTTATTTATATGTGGTGATGAGATTTAAACCCAGTGCCTCACACATGCTAGGCAAGCACTCTACCACTGAGCCCCAATCCAGCCCTTTGCTTTGTTTTTAAATGTATATATTTGTATTAAGTGTACAAATTATGTGTTTTTAATACATTTATTTATTTATTTATTATGTGGTGCTGAGGATGGAACTCAGTGCCTCACATGTGCCAGGTAAGTACTCTACCATTGAGCCCCAGCCCCAGCCCCACAATGTTTTTGATATATATTCACAAAGTGAAATAATACTACAGTCAAGCAAATTAATTATGTCTATATTCTTACATAGTTACTGTGTAGGTGTGTATGTGGTGGGGAGAGAGAGGGAGAAGAGAGCATCTAAAATCTGCCATCTTGGCAAATAACTTTTTTTTTTAACTTTTTTTTTTTTTAAAGCAGATACCACATTTTTTATACCTTTATTTTATTTAGCCATTTTTACGTCGTGCCGAGGATCAAACCCAATGCCTAGAACATGCTAGACAAGCGCTTTACCACTGCTCTGAGCCACAATCCCAGCCCTTGGCAAATAACTTTTAAATACTGTATTTAGCAAATGTTCCATCTGGAATTGATTGACTAGTTCATAGTCATAATCTATTCTGTCCACTAGAGGTCAGCAAATTCACAAAGTTTGCTTTGACTTTTTAATTTAATTTTTTTTTTTTTTTGGTACTGGGGATTGCACCCAGGGAAGATTTCCCATTGACCTACATCCCCAGTTCTTTTTAGTTTCTTATTTTAAGACCAGGGTCTCACGGTTGCCCAGGCTGGCCTTCAATTTGCAATCCTCCTGTCTCAGGCTTGGGAGTGTCTAGGATTATAGGCATATACCACCATATCCAGAAGAATCAATGTTTTTTTGTTGTTGTTGTTGTTGTTTGTTTGTTTTAACAAAGCACGTCAGAGTTATTGATAATTGTAAGGATGAAAAATACAAATAAAGCATTTCGTAAGCATTTCTTCTGGTTATCTCATTCTTTTTTTCTGTAAACTCCAGATAAAACAGATGGAAATTCATCCGATCTGATAAGCATCTTTTTTTGTGCCTGTTGCTAAGTATTGAACAGGATCTCTCATAAGCTAGGCAAGCACTCTATCCCTGAGCTACACCCTCAGCCGTGAGCCTTGTTAACATTCAGAAAAAGCTTTCTTCTTTCAGAACAAATTTTGATAAAAGGAATCCATGTCTGTTCCAATAATACAGGATTTTTTCTTTTCTTTTTTTCGTCATGGTACTAGGGATTTATCCCAGAGGCTCTCTACCACAGAGCTCCATCCCCAGTCCTTTTTATTTTTTATTTTGAGACAGGGTCTTGCTAAATTGCTGAGACTAGACTGTCCTCAAACTTGCATCCTCCTGCCTCAATCTATCCAGTTTCTTGGATTATATGTATGCACCACTGGGCCCAGCTATCACAGGATATTTGAAATATTATCACTAATCCACATCATTCTAGAGATTATGAGAGGCAGATGGAGCCTCTCAAAGGTGGAGCCCAGTTTCAATCCACTTTCTCCCTTTCCCCAGAGGCTTCTCTACATTCCAGTCCAGACACACACATAAACAGAGTGAAGCCACCAGAGGGAAGAGTTTAAGAGCATGGTCTGTCCTTTGGTTTTCAGGGCAGAGTACTGCTTTTCTGTATTTATTGCAGTTAAACCAACTTTTTCATGAGCTACCACTGTGAAATCCTTACTCTAGGTTTCATGAAGTTCTCTGAAAAGGAATCCTTAGAAATTTTCATCATAACTTATACTTTTTATGTTAGAAAAGAATCCTAAAGTCATAAGACAGGACTGGTCCTTATCACCCTAGAGAAATCGACTCAGAGTTTTAATTTTACTAGTGCTATCTCATTCAAAAACTTAGAGACTCAGATATTTTTACCAATAAAAGGAAAAAAGTTTATTTCTATATTTTTATCTTCAGTACCAGTACTTTCAGCAAGAAATATATATTATATGGGCCCTGTATACAAAAATGTAAACCTGAAACAACTTTTGTAAAATAATGCTTTACTCTTACAAAACACAAATAATAAATTCTGATACATTTAGTTTACCTTAAGTTGTTAAAAAAAATACCAGTTGTGACCCACTAAATTGATTTTATGACTCATTGGTAGACTATATATTTCAGTGTTCTATTCTCTAGCCCTCATGGGCTGGGAAAAATAAGGTGATAAATTAGAATCATGTCAAAGCTTTGAGGCAGGGTGGAGTTTCCTTAATCAGATTGAAGGAAGAGTCCTTTAGGAACCAAAACTTTTGAGTCCTGTCCAGTTGTGCCACATTTTCACCATAGAACTGCAAAGACTTCTTGCCCTGTTTTTGAATTTTAGTTTTTCCACTATTATGTGGATAGAATAATGCTTTCTGGGGGCTGTGGGTGTAGCTCAGTGATAGAATGCTCATGTAGCAGGCTCAAGGCTCTGATTCAATTCCCAGTGCCACATAAATAAATAAATATCCTCCCCAAATTATAAACAAACAAACAAACAAAAAGTAACAAACAAAAAAGTAGACCTAGGGATGTAGGTCAGTGCTAGAGCACTTGTCTAGCATGTATAAGGACCTGGGTTCAATCCCCAGCTCTGGAAAATAAAAAAGAGAATGTTTTCTTGCTGGGCCTGGTGTCACAGAACTGTAATCCTAGTGACTCAGGAGGCTAAGGCAGGAGGATTGAGTTCAAGATCAGCCTCAGCAATTTCATGACGCCCTAAGCAATTTAGTGAGATCCTGTCTTAAAATAAAAAAAATTAATCGTTAAGTTCCAGGCCAGCCTCAGCAATTTAGCAAGACCCTGTTTCAAAAAATAAAATCAAATAAATAAATAATGAAAAGGGCTGGGATGTAGCTCAATGGTAAAGCACCCTGGATTCAACCCTCAGAGCAAAAAATAAAATAAAATAAATAATAATAATAATGTTTTCCACAAGGATTGAAGGGTAATGAGTACTTTCTTGAGTTAGATAAGAGATCTGTAGAGGAGAGTGGAAAGGAAAGAGAAGAGATGGGCATAGAAAAGTTATTGGGAAAGATGTTTCAGTAGTGGAAAAAAATAAGGTTTTTATGAATAAGATTATAAGATTGTGGAAGCTGGTGAATTAGATCCTGTTTCTTATGCCTTGGCAATGCATTTTTCCCCCCCAGGACAGATTCTTTTTTTTTTTTTCCTGGTACTGGGGATTGAACCAGGGGTTCTTAACCACTTAGCCACATACCCAGCCCTTTTATTTTTTATTTTGAGACAAGGTCTCACTAACTTGCTTAGGACCTCGCTAAATTGCTGAGGCTGATTTTGACCTTGGGATCCTCCTGCCTCAGTCTCCTGAGCTGCTGGGATTACACCAGATTCTTTAACTGTTCATCTATATTATCCTGATAAAAACCCCAATACAGCCCATATTCAAGGCTTCACCTACCTCCTCGTTGACCATCGACCCCCAGAGTTATCCATTCTGCAGGAAGGAAGAAGAAAGGAGATATGAATGACTCCCACTGTATGCCCCATAAGGCTTTCATGAAGTGAACCAGAACACGATGTAGAAATGGTTGAGTATGGTCTTTAATTTATTCCCATAAGCTCAACACAAAATTGCTCAGACTACTAGTGCTATGCACAAAACTTATAGAAATAGAAACAATCTAGAAAGGCAAGTTCCTGAGAAAATGCCCTGAATCAGAATGTTCTCTTTTCTTCATGCCCAGCCAGGAAGGGTTCTTTTGCACAAGGGGGTCCAGCAGCCTTTCTAGCCCCACAGCCTTCCATTGGCACCCTATTGAACAAGGCAGAAAAATTACTTTCTCAGTCTCTATCTGGTAGAATAAGGGGGGAAAATAGAATGGTATTTCTTTAAAGTCCAGGGTTACTTTTTGGGACCAATCATTTAGCTAGATTCTGCGAAAATCTGTGAAGATCGTTTTTTCTTTTGAGTGTAGGTGTCTATCTGTTTCTTGCATGCATGTGAATATATTTATATAACTGTTCATGCAGATGTTAGGTATCGGTGTATACATTCCCACCAGTTTTCTTCAGGATTTAAATCTTGTTCATTTTCTTATTATATAGTCTCTATACATTTGTGTATATATTTGTATATTAGCTTCTTTTTCTTCAGGTGTTTGTTTACTTGTATATTTGTGTGTGACTCCCTTTTAATGGTAATAAGCAAGTGTGTGCATCATAATTTCACCCTAGTTTCCTAGGTTCAGGCTATCTTTTCCCAGTGGAAGGTCTTCTCTGGTCACATTCCTGCCCTTTCTAATTTGACACAAAATCTGTTGTTTCCTTCTCTTTAATTTAAAGCAGTTCTAGAACTCAATGTCAGGCATGTCTCCTCTCAATCCCCTTTAATCTTGGCCCATTCCACCTTCTAAAACACAGCTCCTCATATAGATAGAGCTAGGAAGCTGACATATGGGGGAGAGAAGAATAAAAATAGGGACTCACCAGATGTGATGATGAGTGCAGTGAGAAACAGCAGCGCTTTGGGGCCAAAGAGCAGCATATCTGGTGGGGTAGTGGGAAGAGTAGAGAGGGTGATGCTCAGGGACACACTGACATTTTGCCCCAGGAAAAGGTACCTCAGTAGCTGGTTTCTTGTCTTCCCAGGAGCTTTCTTGGTTTCTCTTTGACTCAAACCCTTTCTCTCTTTTATTATCTTTCCCACAACATTTATTTCTCCCTCAAATCTGATCTGTTCTTTGGTAATTTACTATTAGTCCCTCTTACTACTCTTTTCTACCAAATTAGCAGAATTTCTTTTTCTTTTTCTTTAAGACTAAGTCTCTCTACGTTGCCTAGTCTAGCCTCAAACTCCTGGGCTTAACCACTCCTCCTGCTTCAGCTTCCCAAGTAACTGGATTTGTAGATGCGCGACACTGCATCCAATTTTCAGAGGAATTTTTGTACTCTAAATAGTCCATTCTTTGCCAAACCCCATGGTCTTTTTCACCCCTAATATCTAAGCTTCTTTTTGTATATCTCTGTCTTCTTTGTGTCATCTGCTCATCCTGGTTACTCCTCTTTTTGGAATTCCATGATAATTTGGGAGTCTGCTCAATTCTAAGTTCAGCAGCATTCCCCACTTCCCCTCTACAGCCTTTCAGTACACACACACACACACACACACACATGCATACACACACAATGCACACACAATCCCTCTGTCTATACAAAGTTTTATAATGGAACAACTCACTGTCTATGGTGCTCCGCTCTCTGCTCTCTCCACAGAGTCCTTTGGCGGCTGTGTCTCTGTCCTCACACTGTTCTACTTTGGCTGGAGAGTAAGATGAACAGAGCCACGCCCTGGGAAGGACTTCAGATTTGGCCTAGTCTGAAACAATGAGATGAGGGAGAGGGAAAAGGAGAGAGAGAAAGCCAGGCTAGAGGCCCAGAATGCAGTGTTACAATAAGGCTGGAATGAGAAGGGAGAAGGGAATTTGTAGTCACTCACACCCTCATTCCAAAGGTTATGACCACACTGGTGAGAGATCTTGCTGCTCCCTAGAAGAGTTGGCCCACACTCATGTATGCCTCTTCCATCCGCTTATTTTCCCTCTTACTGTCTGGCCCAATCTTCCTTTACTCTGTGGGTTCCTTTTTACCTTAATAGTCCCCTCTCATTCTTGGGGTGTTTTATTGCACATTAGCAGACTTTATTTCTGTGTCTCTTTCTTCCATATTTGAATCATTCCTCCATTCCTCTCTTTTTTCTTTTTTATTATTTATTTACTTGTTGGTACTGGGGATTGAACCCAGAAGCCCCCCACCACTGAGTCACATCCTCAACCTTTATTATTTTACTTTGAGACAGAGGCTCTCTAAGGTCCTGAGGCTGGCTTCAAACTTGTGATCCTCCTACCTCAGTCTCCCAAATTATCGGAATTATAAGTGTGCACCACAACACTCAACTCTATTCTTTTTTATTTGTTTTATATGTTTTTCTTTCTTTTTTTGTGTTTGTGTATATGTATGTGTGTGTGTTTTTTTAATATTCATCTCTTCAGCACATTCCTTTGTATCTCTGTACTTCTTTTTCTTCTTTGCCTCTTTCTTGACTCACACATACAGGCTCTTGTTTTTCCCTTTGGGGATATCCTATTTATTCTCACATCCAAGCAAAAACAGACACCACGTGAGGTTTGTCCAAGAGAAAGTCTGGCTATCTTGGAGTTATAAAAAGTTGAAGCATTCAGAACTGTCCAAATCCTTTTCAAATGTGGAGGAGCTCCATGAGAGGAGCCAGTCTTATTTTGTCTTTGACTTTGTTTAGACTTGTGCTAAGAATCTTAGTTTCTGAAATTTAAAAAACAAAATGCCTTAAGAAGCCTAAAGAAAATTGGGAGTCAAGTTCATTCTACTTATTTTCTATCAGTATTTTTTCTCAGATCATATAATATGCTGACAACATTCTCTCTGATCCAGGAATTTTAAAAAGATTTTGTATTTGCTCTCCTTCATAGAGAACATGGTTAAACCACTAAAATATTTCCACATTGGAAGAAGTGGACTTGAGTTACAGAAACTTAAGGTTGTGGAATGTTTGGCTTTTGTGCAATAGAAATATCCTCAATTTCAAGTCACCTGCTAGCTCCTTTAGTGTATGTTATATAGCACCCTGATAAGATAAATTAGACTGTAGATAGAGATCAAATAGACGAATAAATTACAGACTAGAAGAAAAAATAAATGATGGAAAGAAGAAAGGAAGGTAGGTGCTTGGTTAGAAAGGAGAAAGGAGGTAGAGAAAGCAATGAAAATAGTCAGAAATAAGCAAATTGCACGCCATAAGCACCTCTGGCCCCGCTGAGGGAGGTGTAAGTGTTGCATCTCTGAGATACATGGATTCTGGTCAGTTCCCAGAACAAATATGAGTACGAAACCCAACTCTTGGGCTGGGTTCATGGCTCAGTGGTAGAGCACCAGACTAGAATGTTCAAGGACCTGGATTCAATCCTCAACACTACATAAATATAAATAAATAAAATAAAGGTATTGTGTCCAACTACAACTAAAAAATAAATATTAAAATAACAAACAAACAACAACACAACAAAAAAGAAAACCCAGCTCTTCCTGATCTGCTTGACCCAGAACTTGCCCTTCTTCCATCTGGTCCATAGTGAGGGGGCAGAGGCTAGAAAACAGATGTGATTATAGTTTGAAGAGAGGGAGAGAAAAGGTTGAGGTAGGGGGTGTGAGGGGGGAAAAAAAGCGGATGCAAAGCAGAGCTAAGACGACATAGACTAGAGAGCCTAGAGCAACAATCATGTTTTCCATAAAGCTTAGACAGATGGGGAAACTGAACTCAGGCCAATCGTTTGGCAGGGAGAGCAATGACCTCAATGTGCTGGCCTAGCTAAAGACTATAGTTTAGGAAAGCCTCCCCAGGCAGTAGGAGGGGACCATCTCCTGGGGTCTTAGGAGGAAGTCTGAAAGCTAGGGCAGTGAAAATGAGAACAGAATGTTCAGAGCAAGGCCAAAGGAAAGGGATGAGGGAGGAAAGCAGCACCTTAGAAGGCAGGGAGATACAGAAAATCAGAACAGCTATATGTTTGGGGGCTTTATAGACTTCCAAGAATCCAGTTTGTTGCCAGGCACAGTGGTACACGTCTGTAATCCCAGGGTAATCCCAGGGACTCTGGAGGCTGAGGCAGGAGGATTCCAGATTCAAGGCCAGCCTGGGCAACTTAGCAAGACCCTGTCTAAAACTAAAAATAAAAAGGGCTGGGATGTAGCTCAGTGTGTAAGATCCTGGGTTCAATCTTCAGTACTGCCACACACAAAAAAAAAAGATCCCAGGTTGGGATACACGTGGCACACATCTGTAATACCAGTGACTCAGAAGGATCTCAACTTCCAGATGAGCCTCAGCAACTTAGTGAGACTCTGTCTCTCAAAATTAAAAAACTAGAAAGGGCTGGGGATGTTGCTCAGTGGTTAAATGCCCTTGGGTTCAATCCCCAGATTCCTCCAATCTAAAAAATAATAATAATAATAACAAAAAACAACAACAAAAAAAGAATATCCAGTTTGTTCAGGGTAATTTAGTTTAGTTAATTTCTTGCTGGTCACTGTGACGGTGTTCCCTTTCTTCTAACACAATTCCCCATTTGTTTTCGAAGTCCAAGCTTGGATGTTCAAGCTCATAAGAGCCTCAGATTTACTTCTGTCAGAGTGATCTGGTCAGCTCTGTTGTGTTACACCATCAGCTTATCATTTAATTACATCAAGTCAAAGTCAATGGCCAGAAATGAGAAAATGCCATCTAGAGATATAAGCCTATAATTTTCGGAGGCTCTCTATGACTTGGGATGAACTCCTTGGGCAATAGTCCATATTCCCATTCCACATAGTCTACATCTTCTGTGCGAAGAGAACACATTTCCAGTAAAAGAAAAGCCCTCTGTGGAACTGACTGGCAGGTGTAGAAGTGACTTAATAAAGGCAATCTATGGTAATGCATTCCGCTGTCGTGTATTTAAAAAAAAATTAATAAAACTTAAAAAATTTAAAAAAAATAAAGGCAATTTATGTTTGAGTTACCCAGAAAACTTTTTTTTTTAAGTTCTGTGGAAAATGGGTAAAATGCAAAGAAAAACAAGGGAGACAGAGATGAGAGACAGCAGGCTGGCTTTATTCATCTGTTTATTAGCCTATAAAGAATACACCCATTAGCTGAAGGCCTCTGGGCAAATGTACAGAAACATTACTACACTCCAATCCAACTAAATTAAATCCAGGGGCTAACACAAAAAAAATTCCCATAAAAGGAAGCAAAAATACGAGGGGAGGGTTGTATGAGGTGGGGGAGGAGTAGAGGGAGCAGTATGTGTAGAGAGATGAAGCAAAGAAATAGTAACAGCCAAATGCAAAATAAGGACTTAGATGCCAGTAGGGCATATGTTCTCAGAAAACCAGGGCTAGGGAAAATTGTTTCTCCTTCAAAATCCAGCCTAGATGTTATCTCCTCCCCAAAACCTTTCCTGATTCCCCTGCTCCTAAAGAGTTAATCATTCCCTCTACTGAGTCCTTTGTTTGTTTTTATAATCTCAGGATCATCTTTATTAAACTCTTTTACATATCTTTAATCTCTATTCATCTGCAAGTTCCTTGATGGCAGAGTTTAAGTCTTACCCATTACCAGCTGACATAATGGTTAACATATGAGAACTAAAATATAGTCACTGGAATTGAGTGGAGATGAAGACTTGAAACAGTAAATTTCCATTTCTGAAGTATAAACATTCAAAAACTTAGTTAAATAGAAAGGGGGTACAGGATAAAGTTTTAGTAAAGTAAGCAATTTGAGAGTACACAGGGAACTGTTGCAAGTGGAACGAGTAAGCAGTGTATTAAAGTGATCTGAAGGTAATAGCGCAAAAGAAAATAGGTACAAGGTATGGTGGATCACACCTATAATCTCAGCTACTCAAGAAGCAAGAGGATAGCAGTTCAAGATCAGCCTCAGCAACTTAGTGAGGCCCTGTCTCAAAATAAAATTTTAAAAGAGCTATAGATGTAGTTCAGTGGTAGAGGAATTGCCTGGCACATCCCAGGCTCCACTGGACTGGGATTATCATTTTGCTTTGTGTAAATTTTCTGATGGCACTGCTGGTCAGTCTTGCACTATTACATCCATTCTCACTTGATTGTGCAAATGTAAAATGTTTGATCTAGATTCAGGATTCTGTTACAGTTCCTGAAACAGAACCATCAGCAGCAACAACAAAAACTTTAAAAGCCCCGATAAGACTGGCTATAGACAAAATAGGACAAATATTAGAAATTAATTTAAAAAAGGGAAGTCCCTATCTTTTCATCTCCACTCCACACTCTGCCCCCAAGAAAAACCAGATAGAGAAACTAGAATTTGAAAATATGAAAAAAATCCCAGGAAAGTTCAGTGTACCTAAAACTATTAATAAATAATAATAGGTAATAAAGTTATATCAGCCCATTTATATATATATATATATATATATATATATATATATATTTTTTTTTTTTTTTTTTAAATACTATATGTGCTAGGCAGCCTCCAAGATGGCCCCCAGTGTTCCCTGTTTTCATTCTCTCCCCTTTGTGAAATACTCTCTTTGATAGTGGACTGGATTTGGGGACTACTGGCAAACAGAATACAGCAGAAGTGATAGGATGTCACTTCTAAGGTTAGGTTACACAAAGTCTCTGGCTTCTGTCTTTGGTGCTCTCCCTCTCTTGCTTGCTTGTTTGCTCTGAACAAAACTTGTTGCCGGGCAGTGAGCCACTTTAGAGAGATGCCTACATGGCCAGGAACTGAGGCCTCTAGCCAACAGTTAGGAACCTCAGGCCTGCCAAAAGCCATGAGTAAACTTGGAAGTGAATCTACTGTCAGTTGGTTGGGCCTTGAGATGTCTGCA